TCTGGTCTCTATGGGCACTGCATGTACGTGGTGCACAGACATACATATAGGCAAAACACCCATACACATAAGTTAAAAATGACTAAAATCTAAAAATAAAAATACCAAACAAAAAAAGAAAAGAGAAATATACCAGGTAGCGGTAGTGCAATGCCTTTAATCTCAGCACTTCAGAGGCAGAGGCAGGCAGATCTCTCTGAGTTTGAGGCCAGCCTGGTCTACAGAGTGAGTTCCAGAACAGTCAGGGCTACACAGAGAAACCCTGTCTCGAAAAACCAAAAACAAATAAAATAAAAAGGAGTGTATTAAATCTTTCTTGTCGTACTTTCTTTGGACCCCCAGCCCCCAAATAATGACATGGAGACTTATGAAATCTTGGCCTTTAGCTTAAGCTTGTTCTCAATTAACTCTTATAACTTAAATTGATGTGTTTCTATTAACTTATGTTCTGCCACATGACTTTTTTCCTCTCCTCCATTCTGTATGTCCAATCCCTCCCCGTCTCGCTGGTGTCTCCTGTGTCTGATTCTAACCCAGAGTTCTTTTCTGTGCCTGGAAGTTTCCTCTATTCTTTCTTGCCTGTCTATTGGCCATTCAGCTCTTTATTAAACCAATCAGGTGCCTTAGGCAGGTGAGGCAAAACACAGACATATCTTCATGCAGAGTACAAAAAAGATTATCCCACAACAAAGGAGAGATAAACAAACATTTTAGTCTCGTGGAAACGGCATAATCCCTAAACTGATGAAATAATTCCTTCTGGGTGTGTGTATGGATAGAGTATGGGAGTGAGGAAGGGATGAACTGAGACTTTCAGCTTACTTTTTAGTGTAGGTTTGAAATATGAGCTATATCAATGCACAAATTAAAAATTAAATGGAAGAAAACCTAGCCTAGAGTTAAGGGGGAATAGATGCATGCACCTGTAATTCTGCCCTTGGGAGGCCGAGGCAGGAATATTGGAATTTGAGAACAGCCTGGGATACATAGCAAGGCCCCTTCTAAAAAAACAATAAGCCAAAAACTAAAACCAAACCCAAAACAAACAGAAGAGACACTGATGGCCATAGATAAAAACACTGATTAAAAAGCGAGTGTGGTGTGGAAGAGGGTTTTATAGGCAGTGATGATTGGTAAGGGGGATTTTCTTCAGTGGTAGGCACGGGGAAGGTGCCCATGCTTCTGTAAATGACCTCTCACCTGTGAGCCTCTATCCGGTCCTGATGCAGCTCACTGACTCATTAAACAATCAGTGGAAGTAGAGGGGAAGTAGTCATGAAGAGGAAGAGATCCGTGGGAGGAGGGGACGGGGTAGCACGGGGTGAACGTAATCAAAATATATAATGTAGGATTGGAGAGCTGGCTCAAGAGGTCAGAGGACTGGCTGCTCTTCTCGAGGACCCAGGTTCAATTCCCAGCACCCACATGGCAGCTCACAACTGATCCAAGCTCTCTTCTGACCTACTGAGGCACCGTTTTCACGTGGTGCACAGCCTCACATGCTGGCAAAACATACCTATAAAATAGGAAAAAAAATGTATAGAATGCCATACTGCAGCCCATTACATATAATCTATATACACACATATAATAATAAAACACTTTAAAAAACCATTTAAATTTTCCGCTAAGGTATAGAGATAGTAAACATTTTACATCTTCAGGCTGTATACTCTTTGTCACAACTCTTTAACTCAGCCACAATAGAATAAAAACTGTTAGCCAGGCAGTGGTGGCACACACCTTTAATTCCAGCACTCAGGAGGCAGAGGCAGGTGAATCTCTGTGAGTTCGAGGCCTGCCTGGTCTACAAAGTGAGTTCCTGGATAGCTAGAACTGTTACACAGAGAAACCCTATCTCAAAACGCCAAAACAGAAAACAAACAAAACTGTTTAAGACACCATGTAGGCACGTGAGAAGGGAAGGGCTGTATTTAAACAAAAGTGTCAATAGACCAAAAAGAAAAAAAAATGTTCATAGCAATGCCCAGAGAAAGGAGGAGGAAGGATTGGAGGGAGGGAGACAGGAGAGGCGGAAAATGCCTGTTTTCTTCTGAGCGTGTGCATGCATGGTTAACATGTCTTTTGACACATGTGTGTGAGTAGGCATACATGCGCATGTGTGTGGAAGCCCGAGTTTGAGGTCGGGAATCATCCGCAGTTGCTCTTCCATCAGCGTCATTGAGGCAGGGTCTCTCAAGGAAACTTAGAACTCACTGACGTGTCTGGCCAGCTTGTTCTGAGGATTCTCCTGTCTTCTCTTTCATGGCTGGGATGACAGGCTATCTGCCGTCAGCTCGGCATTCACGTGGGTTCTGGGGATCTGGATCCAGTCCTTACACTTGCGTGAGGAGTGGTTTAGTCGGAGCCTGTGGGCCATGACAGGGTTTGACAACCCTCTATCTCCAAAAATATTTACACTACGATTCATAACGGTAGCAAAGTTACAGTTATGAAGTAGCAACAAAAGTAATTTTGTAGTAGGAGCAGAGGGCTGCGTTCCTGCCCATCTCCCGCATGGCTAGCTTTATACCCAAAATAACAACACACAAATTGTTTCCATTTAAACGCTGCTTGGCCCGTTATCTGTAGCCTCTTACTGGATAATTCTCACATCTTGATTAACCCATTTCTAATAATCTGTGTAGCACCACGAGGTGGTGGCTTACCAGGCAGGATCTTAACCTGTGTCCATCTTGGAGAGGAGAGCTATAGCATCTGCCTCACTCCCCTTCTTCCCAGCATTCCATTCTGTCTTTCCCACCTACCTATGTTCTGACCTATCAGGCCAAGCAGTTTTCTTTATTAATTAACCAATGAAAGAAACAGATAGATAGAAGACCCACCTACATCAAATTTTATAGTTGGGGGGTGGTCACCACGGCATGAAGAACTGTATTAAAGGGTCGCAGCGTTAGGAAGGCTGAGAACCACTGGTCTGAGCTATCTCCCCAGCCCCAGGAAAGGTGTCTCTATCAGTAGACTGCCAATCAAAATTTGGACGGGATGGCTGGTACTCACTGCTGAACAGCTTTAAGTAGGATAACAAATTCAGGCAAAGCTCGTGAGTGGATGGATGCCAGATCCACTGGAGAAGGATCACTGGGGAGCGGGACAGACACACAGCTTTAAACCTTGGGAAAGACACAGCTCCCTCAGGTAAAACTCCTCCCAAAATGATTAACCAAGTCTACCTGTGAAAGACAGTGTCTCCCTGTGTGGCCCTGGCTGTCCTAGAACTCACTCTGTAGACCAGGCTAGCTTCCAACTTAGAGAGATCCTCCTGCCTTTGCCTCCCGAGTGCTGGGATTAAAGGCGTGCACCACCACCTCCAGGCTTTGCCCAGACTCTTTAAAAGTCTGAAAAACATTGAGATTTTCTAGATTAAAGAAGAATAAACATACTTTATGACCAAAAGCAGTACATGATCCTTGGTAGGATGGTGAATCAGAAAAATAGAATTAAAAAGGATACTTTCGGGATAGTAGGGAACCTTGAGTTTGGATTATTAGATAATATTACCACACATAACTATATTACACTTTTCGTGTGTGCTAATGGCACAGTGATTTCTAGATTGGAGGAGGCTAATGTACTTTGGGATGTAGAGTCTGTGGCTGTCTTTCAGATGAGCAGCAGGAAAGACTCCGTTCGTATAGATCCCCAGATGGCATTGCTTCATTACCCAATATAGGCCTCCTGTCAGCTGGGAATGGGGGGAATGGGATCTTTCCCCGATTTCAGAGCCCCTAGCTATGGTCCCCAGGGTCAGTAAAGCAACGAATAGATGCAAGGCTCTCTGCTGGCACCATGCACCGATTCTGTCCTTCCTTCCTTCCTTCCTTCCTTCCTCCTTCCCTCCCTCCCCTCCCTCCCTCCCTCCCTCCCTCCCTCCCTTCCTCCCTCCCTTCCTTTCTTTTTTTTGGTGTGTGTGTGTGTGTGTGTGTGTGTGTGTGTGTGTGTGTGTTTTGAGACAGGGTTTCACTGTGCGGTCCTGGCTGTCCTGGAACTCAATATGTACATCGTGGAACTCACTCTGTAGACCAGGCTGGCCTCAGACTCTGATCTGCCTGCCTCTGCCTCCCGAGTGCTGGCATTAAAGGGGCGTGCCACTCCCACCCCTGATTTCTTTAAAGAGATTTACTTTTAAAAGTATTATGATGTTAACATGATGTGTGTGTGTGTTTGTGTGTGTGCATGTGTGTGGGTGTATGCATGTTATAGCATGTACATGAAGGTTGGAGGACAACTCTGTGAAGTCACTTCTCTCCTTCCTCCTCCATGTGGGTTCCAGGGAACAGACTCAGGTTATAAGCTTGAGTGACAAGCACCTTTATATGATAAATCATCTTGCTAGTCTCGTGAATTGATTTCTTGCCTCTTCCCCATAAGACACACTGAGCCTGGAGACCCAGGTTCAAGTCCCTGGGAAAGTTACTTTATCTCCATGGCTTTCTGCTCTTGGGCTAAAAGATGTCTAAGGTCTCATCTAAACATGATGTTGACTCCATATACTTACATTTCTTGGGAGTTGGGGACAGTTTGATGATTTTTGGTGACCGTGTGAGTCAAGAGAATGGAATCAGAAGTCTGTGTTTTAGATTTTCCTGTCCATAAACTGAATCTTTAAAAAATTTATTTTTATTTTATGTGCATTGGTGTTTTGCCTGCATGTGTGTCTGTACGAGGATGTCAGATCTTGGAGTTCCAGACAGTTGTGAGCCACAATGTGGGTGTTGGAAATTGAACCCGGATCCTCTGGAAGACCAACCAGTGCTCTTAATTGCTGAGTCATATAAACAAAGTTAATTATCATTTGCTGGATAAAGAAAAACAAAGTACACATGAACGTGTGTGTGTGTCTTGTGTAACTAAAGTTAGACCCAGAGTGATGTTGCCAGTGGGGTTTAAGGATTAGGGGTTTGGAGCCAGAGGAGTGTTCTTTGGCTGCTCAGGACTCCTGGGCCTGGCTGGCCTCACCTATTGCTTCCACACCCCAGGCCCACGAGCGGCTGGAGGAGACGAAGTTGGAGGCCGTTCGGGATAACAACCTGGAGCTGGTGCAGGAAATCCTTCGGGACCTGGCGCAGCTGGCGGAGCAGAGCAGCACCGCTGCAGAACTGGCACGCATCCTCCAGGAGCCCCACTTCCAGGTTCCCAGCTGCTGGCTGATGCGCGTGGTGATGGTGGTGGCGGTGGCGGCAATTTCCTGGTTGGAATTTGGTTGGGAAGCCATTGCGGGGCATTTCCCCATTGTCCCCCCCTTTTTTTCCCATCCCGTTTCAGTCCCTCTTGGAGACACATGACTCAGTGGCCTCAAAGACCTATGAGACCCCACCCCCCAGCCCAGGTCTAGATCCCACGTTCAGCAATCAGCCAGTACCCCCTGATGCGGTGCGCATGGTGGGCATCCGCAAGACAGCTGGAGAACATCTGGTGAGGATCAGAGGCTTGGGGGAAGGGACAGAGAGTCACCAATGAAGAAGGAGACAGGGCAGGTGGGACTAGGCCCAGGTTCATCCAAGGGCTGTATAGACTTAGCCACACATGATTGTGCGTACACACACGTGTGCATGTGCCCACGCATATACACATTCTCCCTCAGGATCCTCTCCAGGCTGTGGCTATAGGTGAAGGATTGAGCCTAGAATAGGAAGTTTTTGAGTGGGGATGAGCGTGGGGACTGGAGTGGGAGGGCCACCCTGGACAGAGACAGCCTTGCTACCCGCTCCTTCCGTCCTCCAGGGTGTGACGTTCCGAGTGGAGGGCGGTGAGCTGGTGATTGCTCGCATTCTGCACGGGGGCATGGTGGCTCAGCAAGGCCTGCTGCACGTTGGTGACATCATCAAGGAAGTGAACGGGCAGCCAGTGGGCAGCGATCCCCGGGCGCTGCAGGAGCTCCTGCGTAATGCCAGTGGCAGTGTCATCCTCAAGATCCTGCCCAGCTACCAGGAGCCCCACCTGCCCCGACAGGTGGGCCTGCCTCCCTGAGCCCCCCCCCCCCCGCACCCCCAGTTCAAAGCCCAAGAGTTGGCTGAGCTGTAGCTCCTAGGTCTCTTGGTCTGTTCCACCCTAAACTGTATGTCTAAGGAAGAAGAGCCAGCAAGCCCTCCAGGCTGATGGTACTCATTGCAGCTACACAGCCTCCAAGTGTGGCGCATAAACACACATTGACATGTCTTATATGTAGGCATTCGTGCACATATGCAAGAGCTATGTGAGCTTCTATGACTAGGAAGGCTATCTGAGTGTGCAAGAGATTGTGTGGAGTGTCCTGAGTGTGTCTTTGTGGCCTTTGCACCTATGTGTGTGTGCAAAGACCTCACCCTGCAGGCTGTGTAAGGTGGGATTGTCGCCTGCCCTGGGAGCTGCTTCCTTGGTGGATTGTCAAAGCTGTCACCCCACCTCCTCTTTGGGTTTTGTTCTCTCTGAATTCTGCCCTCCTGAAGGGAGGAGGGAAGACTATAGGGTTAGGTGCCAGTGACCCCGACCTGGGTATCTGCTTCCTTTTTCCTGACCCATCCGTGGGCAGTTTCTCAATTGCTAAATCTAAATCTCTTCATTCCCATTGCCAAGGGGAGTACCAGGAAGGCAGGGTAAGCAGGGCTGGGGACATCACTCCTTTAGACAGGGAGAGTGGCAGGGAGGGGTGGACTGTCTGCCAAACCCCCTTCCAGTGGACACGCTCTCGCTTCGGTCCCTTGACTCCTCCAAAATCCCTGTGCTCAGGTATTTGTTAAATGCCACTTCGATTATGACCCTGCCCGCGACAGTCTCATCCCCTGCAAGGAAGCAGGCCTGCGCTTCAACGCTGGGGACTTGCTTCAGATTGTGAACCAGGATGATGCCAATTGGTGGCAGGTGAGCCCTGGGCACTCCTCCAGTGCCTCCAAGTACAGTAACAGGGCAGAAGGAGGGGGCACGGTGAAGGGTCCTCTTACCCAGGTAGGTCTTTGGCATGTGCCATTTCAGGCGTGCCATGTAGAAGGGGGCAGTGCTGGGCTCATCCCCAGCCAGTTGTTGGAGGAGAAGCGGAAAGCGTTTGTCAAGCGGGACCTGGAACTGACCCCGACTTCAGGTAGGCGCCCCGCCCCCGTCTCAAGTCCCAATATAAGACTTGGAATCACCCGGTTTTTACTCATTTGTTTCCTTGTGGCCAGGGACCCTGTGTGGCAGCCTTTCGGGAAAGAAGAAGAAGCGAATGATGTATTTGACAACCAAGAATGCAGGTGGGTGCTAATTCCTGTCCCAGTTGTCCAATATGCCATATCTCTCTTCCTCACAAGTAACCTTGGGGGTCAACTCTGCTCAGATGCTGCCAGCCTCCTTCCTAGGCCTGCCCGAGTCCTCCGTTTCCCAGGCCTCAAGCACTTTTACTCTCGACGCATCCTGAGAGCCCCTTCCCTCCCCCATGGGGCAGCCTGCTGAGCAGTACCATCTCTCTGTGCCCAGAGTTTGACCGCCACGAGCTGCTCATTTACGAGGAGGTGGCCCGCATGCCCCCATTCCGCCGGAAAACCCTGGTGCTGATTGGCGCTCAGGGTGTGGGCCGACGCAGCCTGAAAAACAAACTCATTCTGTGGGATCCAGACCGCTATGGCACCACAGTGCCCTGTGAGTGGGGGCCATGAAGCGGGAGGTGCGGGGGGTGGTGGGGAAAGGAGAAAGGAGGAATGGTGGTAGAGGGGTGCAGAACAGCACTGAGTGAGCACCTTCAGGGGCATCAGGTCAGGTGGTTCCTTTGGGTGAGCGCTGTGTGGTGTGCGCCCTCTGTGGGTGGATGATGGGAACTGCAGGCTCGGGATTGGGCGAAGGGTCTGGCTTTATTTCAGGATTTCTTTCCTCAAGTTTTGCTTGCAAAAAGGGTCAGGAAAAAAGGTGTCTACCTTGGGATCTGGCGAAAGAGGGTTGAACTGCGTGTGGCCATATGGTAGACAGGGCTTCTAATCTAAGGGATGGGTCAGCAGGAGGTGAAGGTGGGTGGTGGCGGTTCCTGGAGGCAGGAACAAGAATATTAAGCACAGACTTCTTGACCCTTGCCATATATATATATACACGTTCGTCGCCTTCCTGAGCCTATGCTACCATCAGTGTGCATGAGATGGGGCAAGTTGTTTTCTGAAAGTCCTCCCGGACAAGTGTCTTGCGTGTGTCTGTGTATCTGTGTGTGCACATGCATGTCAGTGCTGAGGGTGAGGGTCGGTGTGTGTGAAGACATGAGTTCAGAGATCATGCAACCCACATGGAAACCACATGTGCATTTTTTGAGGTGGGGTGACTTGACTCACCCATCGGCCATGCTTCCTCTCCAGACACATCCCGGAGGCCCAAGGACTCGGAAAGGGAAGGGCAAGGCTACAGCTTTGTGTCTCGCGGGGAGATGGAGGCCGACATCCGTGCTGGACGCTACCTGGAACATGGCGAGTATGAGGGCAACCTGTACGGCACGCGTATCGACTCCATCCGTGGCGTGGTTGCCTCCGGCAAGGTGTGCGTGCTGGACGTCAACCCCCAGGTACTGTCTAGCTCTTCCCGTTCATGTCCGTCAGTGTCCTCTGCCCACACCCTGCTCCCCTCAGCAACCCCTGTATGGCTCATAGTGCTCATGTTCCCCTCGACTATGGCTAGGCATCTGGTCTTTGCCGACTTCCTGGATTCTTCCCCCAGCCTCCTTCAGTTCGTCTCCAGCTACTTGTCTTTCTCAGGACCCAGGTCCCAGAACCCCAGGCACCCCAAACATCCACTCTCAGGTGCCCACCCTGTCACTCACACATGTGAAGATGTGGCTCCCACCTCTTCTTTGCCTGCAGGCGGTGAAGGTCCTGAGGACAGCTGAGTTTGTCCCTTATGTGGTATTCATTGAGGCCCCTGACTTTGAGACCCTTCGAGCCATGAACCGGGCTGCGCTGGAGAGCGGCGTGTCCACGAAACAGCTGACGGTGAGGGGCTCTGACCGCCTGGGGTGGTGGAAGCCAGAGCAGTCGGACTTTGTACCTTTGTAATTTGTGCCTCTGAAGAGAGGAAAGGATGAGAGAGAAACACAGTGCCCAATGTCTCAGACCGAGCCAGGGACACAGAACTTTGACTCCAGGCCTACTACGTGCTCCAGAGAGCCAGTGGGAGACTTGTGGGACAGAGATGGCCAGGGGAGGCTTCTGGACCTTGATACAGCATTGCCCCAATGGATAGGGTTTGCCAAGTTCTGAGCTGAAGGCTTCCCACTCCCCACGCCCCCATCTCCTGTCCCATGCCTGCTACAACAGCTCCTCTGCTCCACTGAGGCTCTCTGGGTTGGGCTTGCATCCTCTGATGACCTGATGCCAGCTCTGTACACCATGGCCCTGACCAAAAATGTAGCCGGAGCCTCTGGAACACTGCTTCCCTCTGTTTTGTTAAGCCAGTTGTCCAGTTCCTTCACTGCTTCCCAGCTTAGCTTCCTTAGGTATAGGGTAGGTGGGAATTAACTTGGCTGGAGTCAGGCGGATCTCTGAGCCATCGGCTCACTGTGACCTCTCTGTATCTGAGCTTTGTCTTCTTAATAGGAGAAAATTAATCCTCCCTTGTGGAGCTGTGGTGAAGGGCCTGTGGGTGGCCAAACCATTACCTGCTTATCACAACAGCTCCTCCCTCCCTTCTTCCTTCCCTCCCTCTCTCTTTCCCTCCCTCCCTCCTCCCCTCCCTCCCTCCCTCCCTCCCTCCCTCCCTCCCTCCCTCCTTCACATCTATCTGGGCTTGCTGGGGCACAGCCTTGTGGGCACAGGGCATCTGTACCACTGCGGCTGGACTTTGTGGTGAGGTAGGCAGGTTGTAGATTCCTCTGAATATGGGGGCAAGGAGGAGGCACTGACGAAGCCTCTTGTGTGGGACAGGAGGCAGATCTGAGGCGGACAGTGGAGGAGAGCAGCCGCATCCAGAGGGGATACGGGCACTACTTCGACCTCAGCCTGGTCAACAGCAATCTGGAGAGGACCTTTCGTGAGCTCCAGGCTGCCATGGAGAAGCTTCGGACAGAGCCCCAGTGGGTGCCCGTCAGCTGGGTGTACTGAGCTCTGCTCTGGACCTTGCTCCCTGCCTGGTTGGGAATCCATCCATCCTTCAGCCCACTTGTGACACCCCCTGCCCCGATAACGATCTCCTCACCCCCCCATCCCATCCCTGGTTTTCCCTGGATCACAGTTCCCAACAGGCTTCAGTCCAGAGGTGTGCACTGCCAGGGAGGTGGGTGTTCATAGGGTACCTCTGTACCCAGGTGCTGCCCACTCCCGATGCCCACTGGCCACCAGACATCCCTCTCTAAGGATCATGCTGTGTCCAGGAGCATCTCAGAGTCCCTCCTGGGATGCTCAGACCAGGGAAGAGCAGAACTGCTTGGACCTTGTGGTCAGTAGGTCTAGGACCCTACCAGCCTGTTCTCCTTGGGGCTGGCCACACCCACCCTGTTCCCTGGCCCCTCCCACTCCTTCCTATAGTCCTTGCAACAGCCTTGGGCTGTTCTCCTGTGGCCAGGTACTCAGACCACTGGGCAGTGGTGTCAGTCTGGGCTGTTTTAGAGACTGGGGAAGTCCCATCCTGAGCCAGCCGTTGTAGCTGGTGGCACGGGCCTCAGCTCCTCCAGGAGCAAACGTAGCCTGGTCCCTCCTTTATTCCTAGCTTCTCACTGCCAAAGTCTCTCCACGAACTTTCTTCATGTGTCCGTCCCTCTTTTATAAGCCCTGCTCCCCAAACATTGCGACTGGCAGGTGGCAGGAGGCTTAGCCCAGGTTGGGAATAGGGCCTAGAAAGCTGAACCCTCCGTTGCTGGGACCTAAAGGACTCCCGGCTCCACAGCCCACACCAGGCTCTGTTCGCTTTGAGCTTTTCTCTGAATGGATCTCGGTGGCCCCTGGCATTAGGGCTGGTAAGCTTGGACTTGAAGATGGGGTGGAGAGACTGTGAGTCTGGGCTTGGAAACAGACAGGCTAGCTTTAGTAGCACTTGCCACACAACTCCAAGGGAGAGCCATTGGCACTCCAGGCTGGGCAGTCTGTGGCTCTGCCTGCTGAGGTGCTGGTCAGCGTTCCTGGCCTTGGTGTGTGTGTGTTGTACGTGTGTGTGCATATGCACAGATGTGGTTTGGTTTGAGGGGAGGCAGAGGACTGCTTTTTCTTGGAGCTGGTCCATTGAGGCCCCCAGAGCTCGGGCCTTCCTCTACTCTCCTCTTGTCCCCTATCCTAAGTACCAGCCTTTAGTCCTCGAGGAGGGTGATTTTGTAAATTAGGAGAATCCTTTTAAAAACTCTTGTCCTTGACATCCGGAGACATCTCATCCCTCATCCTTCTTGAGGGGGCTCCTGTCCTCTCAGGGACCCCCCCCCGGCACCCCCACCCTGTGCCTCCCAGTTCTCCTGAGTGTCAGTCTTTGCTGCAGTGCCAGCCCAAGCTGACCCCTGAACCACTGTGTGCCCATTTCCTAGGGGAGGGGAGGAGAGGGGAGGGGAGGGAGGGAGAATAAACAGAATATTTATTACAAATGCTAGAAATATATTTATTATATTAGAAGCCTCATTTGCATTGCCATTGGACGTGCAAACCAGACTAGAGGTGGACGGCCTGCTGCTCATTTGCACAGCTCTGCCCATACCCATGCAGTCACCTCCCCACCTTGTCCCCAATCCGTCAATGTCCTGTCCTTCTGTTCAGCATCTTGCTGCGACCCTGACCCTCACTTAGCCTAAGGGGACTGGTAGCGCGAGAGAAACGGCACATTTCCCTGTTTGCCAGTTTCCTCCTCCCCTGGAGGACTAGTGTAGGGGTCAGAGCAGCCCCTGATCCCCCCCCCCCGCCCCGATTAACCCACAAAGCCCTCTGACCAAAAGACCAGGGTCTCTAAGGGGTCTGGTGGGCACCATGCTGGAGAGTTGGTACCAGTCCTTCCCTCTGGATACCCAGTGGAGTAGTGATCCTCACAGCATCCCCGGTAATGTGCAAGGGCCAGGGTTGGGTCCCTCCTCTCTGAACAGCCTCCTACCTCTCCCGCTGAGCCCGACAAACACCCCTTTCAAGTGCTGGCCCCGTGGGAATAGAGGCTGGGAGCCTCCTCAGCTCACCTGGCACAGCCCTTTAGTTAGAACATGTTGGTGCCCACCGAGCTAGCTCTGTGAGTCTGTCCTCCCTCCCTTCCTACCGTGGACCTCGGGAGAAGGAGGACCCTGCCCCCCATGGTCCACGCTCAGCCTCAACCCATTACCCTTCCTTTGTTACCTCCGCCAGCCATCTAATTCTTAAGTTTTCTTTCTTTTCCTTTGATTAAATGTGAAAGCATATGTTTCTGGACTCCGTTGGTCTTTGATTGGGGGGTTGGGTAGATGGTTTGGTGAGAAGGTGCAGGTTAGGGAATACAGCACAGATAGCAGAATAAAAAAAAAGAAAGGAAAAGAAAAGCACATGACTCCTCCTAGGTGTGGTGGAGGAGGTTTATTGCAGACATGTGGGAGAGTCTAGCCAGAGGCAGGGACAGGGACATCTGGGGGAGAACAGTGGACATGATCAGATTGAGCTCTGCCATATGAGGAGGAGGGGAGGGGAAGAGAGAGGAGAGAGAGGGGAAGCCAGGTACAGCGGCTAGAAGGCCCATCATACAAAGAGAGCTAGTAACCAAGATGGCTGGATTATATAGGGAAGAGCAGCTCAGCACCCCCACTCCCGGGAGTTCAGGGTAGGGAGCTGGGTGTGCCAGCCAAAAGGGCCCTCAACAGTAGGTAGGGACCAAGGGATGCAGGGAGAACCTGGTGGCCAGTATTTGCTCTATGCTACATAGTCCTTAGCCATTTGCCCTGGGTTTAAAAACCTAACAATGTTTCTAGAATGGAAGATGGACTGACTATGGTGTCTTCCTCCCCTGTCTTGCCCCTCTGAGCTGTATATTAAGAGCTTATGCCTGGGAGCTGTGAGCATCAGGGAACAAAGGACTCAGGGTCTCCATGGCCAATCCACACAACTCCATGTGGAACTCCTGTGTCCTTCAGCAATCGCCCCTGCCTCCCTAGGGCTTGGCTTCACCCTCTGTGAAAGTTCCACAGTCTCTCAGTGATAATGCGCAGGGGTTCTGGGTGCTCACCTGACGGCAGGAGACGACACTGGAGTGTCACTCTTTAGATCCCTCTATCAGCAGCAACACATCACACCTCCCAGGGGTTCCACCACAGCAGTATGTGTGGTCCAGGGCATCAGCATCCTTTCCACCCAAAGTTCTGCAGGAGGGAGTCGTGGTACACCATCCCGCCATTATGACTGCAGGTCTCTGAGGCAGTCCCTGTGTGCAGTGGCCACTTGTCCATTAGAACCTGGTCCCCAGTCCCAGGATACTGAAAGGAAGGCTGGGAAATGTAGTCTGTGGAGGAGTGAAGGCAGTCAGCAGATCCCCGGTACTGAGTGAGCTTTGAGAGGTGCTTTGTTTTAGAAGCTCCCGGAGTGAGGCCGGGTTAGCTGACCATCGTCATTCCTTGTTTGCCACACTTTTGGGATTGAGAAAACGTCTTTTTAGCTTCCAGTTGACATTAAGACGTTTTCCTAAATTAAAGACAGATAGTCTGAAAGAAATTATTAGGTTTTTTTTTTTTTTTTTTTTTTGACACAGGGTCTTTCCATAACCCTGGCTGTCCTGGAACTCACTCTGTAGAACAGGCTGGCCTCGAACTCACAGAGATCCACTTGCTTCTGCCTCCTAGGATTAAAGGCATGCAACACCATGCTTCCTGACTTTTTTGTTAATAGTTTTTAAAAATATAGTTTTAAAAATTGACACATAATAATTGTGTTTATAACATACACAGAGAGAGAGAGAGAGAAAGAGAGAGAGAGAGAGGTGTTTCTTTTCCATCAGTCACTCTTAAGCACCAGCATGCTTTAATTTATGTTGTGTCTTGAAGCAGGGTTTCATCATACAGCACAGACTAGTCTTGAGCTTGGAATTCTTCTCTCTCACCTCCTAAAATCTGGATTACTGGTGTGTGCTACTTTGTCAGGTTGGAAAGTCCATTTTGGATGAACTTCTTTTTTGGGTGTTCTCTGCTAACTGCCTGGGGGCACTGCTTATCCCAATTTTTAATGTATTAATGGATTTGCATGGCCTGCATTCTTGTAGGTACATATTCTCTCTCTCCCCCTCTCTCCCCCTCTCTCCCTCTCTCTCCCTCCCTTCCCCTTCTCTGTCTCTCTCTGTCTCTCTATCTCTCTGTATTTCTGTCTCTCTCCCTCCCCCTTCTCTCTCTCTCCCTCCCTTCCCCCTTCTCTTTCTCTGTCTCTCTATCTCTCTCTGTCTCTTTCTGTCTGTCTGTCTGTCTGTCTGTCTGTCTCTTCCTCCCTCCCCCTCCCCCGTGAGGGGGGTTTCACTTGCCCGTGCCCCGTACAGGCCAGAGGTCTGCACCGGCTGTCTTCCTCTAGGTTTGAGATCGTTTCTTAGGGAATCTAGAGGTTGATGTCCTGGCTACCATGCTCTTGGGCTTTGCCATCTTCCCTCCAGCACTGGGGTACAGACTCACAGTGAGGCTGTTACAAGGAACTGGAACTCTCTGGGGTCCTCTTGCTTGCACAACAAATGCTTTACCTACTGAGTCATCCCTCCAGGAGAGGTTAGGAGAGGAGGGACACACGTCTTTCATACCAGCACTCGGGAGGCAGAGGCAGGTGGATCTCTGTGAGTTTGAGGCCAACCTGGTCTACAGAACGAGTTCCAGGACAGACTCCAAAGCTACAGAGAAACCCTGTTTCAAACAACAAAAACAAAACGAACAACCCCCCCCCAAAAAAAAACAAACAGAGAGAGAGAGAGAGAGAGAGAGAGAAAAGAAAATATTCTTTTTCTCAGGACCACATGTTCTCTCAACTCCTTCTAGAGATTTCCAATGGCAGTTATTGCTCCTGCATAAAGATTCACAGCTAGTGACAGAGAACTGGTTCGGTAAACTGAGGCACACCTATATGCTAATGCAGCTGAGAAACAGTTTATTGTACAAGGTTTGTAGGAATGCTTATGATGGGATAATGTGGGATGGGGTGACCCCTCTGTGAAAGGAGCAACTTCAAAATGCATGGAGGAGAAAGGAGGAGGATCCAGCCAAGTGCAGTCAGGGTGCCAACAGGGCTTGGTGAGGTTATAGATGACCTTAAAAACACTGCCCCCCCTTTTTGTCTTTTCCCCTGTGTTTCTATGTTTTACGTGCTGAACACCTCCCTCTCAGTGTTTTCAAAACGAAATAGTAAAAGGGAAGCAAAGAGTTGAGCCAGACCGTCTTTCCCTCATCCAGCTGGCCTGGCTTTAGCATTATCCTCTGCTAACTGGAGTCTTGTTTCTTCCTGCCCCCTCCCCTTCCCACCCCACTCTGCTTTCCTCTTCCTCCCCAAACCTCCAGAGCCCATGGAGTAGTAGCCCCGTTTGGACAGAGAACTTTTCTCCAATGTCCTTCCAAAGCCTGGAATACAGGGTTGTGAGGAAGGAGGAGGAGAGACAGCTGACCTCACAGTGAAAGAGAGAAGGAAGAAAGACTCAGGCTAGAGGAAGCAGAGGATCCCTCAGGCTCAAGTGTGGGAATCTTGGTCACTTGTCAGAACCACTGGTGAAGACCCAGCCTTGCCCTCCAGATGGTTTGGGGCGGGGCTCGGTAATTCTGTTTTAATGATTGTTCTGAAGGGCCAGAATGCAGGTGGTTTATAAACACATATGTTTTATACACACGTATGTTGTCTCCTCCACAGCAGCTGCGGCAAGAGAATGGAGGGAAGCGAAGGTGGGATTTGCAGGGGATGGGAGGAGGGACGGTTGCTGGGCACCGACGCCCAGGAAATTTCCTGGAACCCATACAAACTCAGCCCTCATCTACTGAGCCTTGCCAGGCCCAGGTGAAGGTCCGCAGCTGCGCACTCTTCCTAGAGATTAGAATATGCTGGGGAGGTCTCAGCCATTGGCTGGAATTGTTACGTCCACACTGGGCTTCGGGGTCCACAGATTCACTTCGTTACCATTCTGGGGCACACAAGCAGGGAGCCTGGAGGAAGGTGGATGGAGCCCTGGAGTGTGAGCAGAGCCGGCGAATTCGTGCAAACTCAGCGGTTCAGCTTTATGGAGCCTGACCACGGGCCATTCTGCGGTTATACAGAGATGAACTCGGAAGCCAGTTCCTGTGCGGACACCTGCAGGGGAGGGGCTGCCATTGCGTCCTCATCCTCCTTGGTGTCCAGGGAAGGGGCTGCCTCTTCCTCTGTAGCCTGGAGGTATGATGGTGAGGTTGAAAAGCAGAGCCTGGCGGTGGTGAGGTCTCCACTCCAGCAGAGCCCCCGCCCCCTCATCTCTTGTCTGTAGCGCATGGGTCTGAGACAGGGTCTCACCATGTAAACTGGCTTCTAATCCCCCAGCTCCTCCCTCTGACCACAGACTCCCTACTGTTAGGATTACAGACAAGTACCACAATGCCCCGCTCAGCTGAGAACTCTTTAAACAGACACCCAACATGCTATTAAAGAATTCTCTGAGCCTGGAAGAGGAGATCGTGAAGTTTGGAGCCTGGGGGAAATGACCTAGTCTTATTACGGTTTTGACAGGCTAGATGGACAGATGTGGGGGTGGGGCTTCTAGGGAAGAGCCCTCCCCGCCTTGTCCCCATTATCTCAGTGGTGTCAGCTAGCGTGGCTTCCAGAGCCCTTCTGTCCACACCTGGCCGAGGTGCTGGGTCTCCGTGAAGGGCACAGCGGAGGCGTTGGCATTGCTGAGACACTCGGGAGGCACTGCAAGGTTGATCATGGCATCTTCAGGCACCCAGTTGTTCCCTGGTGGCTGTAAGAGGAACTCGGTCAGAACTCAGGACAGCCTGTTCTTAGCAGCATAGACAGTCTGGAACTAAGCCCAGAGGAGCTAGAGAGGAAGGACATAGTTCTGGTTGTCATATGACTTCTGGCACCTGGGTGTTACCTTGGCAAGCTAAAAGCTTGAATACATGTTACTTCTCAGGGTCACACAATCCAAATAGCACTAATTTTAAAGACATGACTTCGCCAAGTAATCCTGGATGACTTAGAACTTGCTACGTAGACTAGGCTGGCCTTGAACACACAGAGATTCCTGTGCCTCCCGGATACTGGGAATAAAGGCCAGTGGGTCTCACACTTCCTAGGCTGGCTTTGAATTCCTTCTATAGCTAAGGATGACCTTGTTGAGGGCTGGCGTCTCAGATGTGCACCGCCACCCTCAGCTGAGGCTGGCTTGCTTTGTGCACACCAGGCAAGCACTCCACCAAGTGAGCTGCGCCCGCAGTCTCCGGACAGCATCTTACCACCCAGTGATCAGAAACTTCTGGAATGGTTTGTTTTGTTTTAATCGTGTTATTCCTTTGTAACCAGAGGGAACAAGCAGGCTGTCTGCTGGTTTTCGTGGGCCTCAAAGATTCACCAGATACAAACAGCACAGGAGGCATTTGGTCTGTGACTATCCCATGCTTAGGGAAGAAAAATGGTTCTTTTTCTGGAGTCTGCGGGACCAGCCTTGGGCAGTACATATGACTGAATTCTTCCAACCCTTGCACTTCAGTGTGGAAGGATGGACAGCACAGCAGCCAGCCTCATAGACCTTGGGTGGTTTTGTCTAGTTCTGTTTTTCTCAAGCTGTGTTACTGTGCGCATAGAATTACCCTCTCTGAGTCTCTGTTGCTATGTCTATAAAATGGAGGAAATAACACTGCCTGCCCCCATAGAAACGACAAGGGGTCAAGCCCCCACTGCCTGCTCTCACCTCTGTTTCTGCCATGTGTACCCCAGGCTTGCCTTGGACAGCAACCCTCCTTCCTCGGCCTCCTGCGTCCTGGATGCCAGGTCTGTGCCACTATCCTCGTCAGTTCCTTTGGCCTCTTACAGGACAAGTGTCCTCTTCCTTCTTTGTTGTGAGTGTGTGCAAAGAAAATCCCCAACCACTCCTGTGTCTTCCCCCGACCTCTGCTGAAGACTGCAGAAATGGGGACTCCACCAAACAAAGCCCGTGTCTTTGACTGACTACGTTTTGGTGACAATGGCCTCTGACCTTCAAGGTCCCCTCTCTCCTATCTTTCTACCTAAAGGGGCTGCTACTCAGTTTCCTTCTGCTCAAACTGCCCTGAGCTCTTTCTTGCTCCTTCCTATGGCTGCAGGGGGAGCTCAGGTGCCCCAGGCTGGAATCAGCCCTGCCCACAGTGGCAGGACAGGAGACACCCCCACACCCAACCGTGGCTGGTTTTCTGAACCCCAGCACTCTCCTGATGAGCCATCTCCACCCCAGAAGGCTGAGCTCTGAAGGTGGCCCAGGGTGGCCTCTGTTCCCATGACTTTTGCCTCACTCCCCTTAGCCACTTTTGGCCTTGTTCCACTTCCTGAGACAACAACAGCTGCTTCCTAAGTCAAGGAAGAGCCCATCCCCACTCAGCCCTCCCCTGGGTATCTGCCTGGAGTCTTTTGTCTTTACTGACGCCAGGAAAGAAGGGGATGATATTCCCCTTTCCCTGGCCCCATGTTGGGAAGAATAAAGTTGAAATGCCTCAGTAAGTGGGTGGATTTTGGGGCAGGGCATCAGGCAAGGCAAGGTAGGATTTTGTTTCTCAAATACAATTCTGCAGCATATTGGGGGCAGGGGGTAGGGGGCAAGCACTGGCCTGGGAAGTTGGACGGCTTGGTTCTTCAGGAAGATATGTACAGGAACCTCTGTACATCCCCCCCTCCCGAGTCCCCACTCCCACTGGTTCCCAGGGTGTTCTGCTCACAACTGGGTCCTTGAGCAGCCAAACCTGAGTAGCATGGCCTCAGAATCAGTGGAGGACCAGAAAAAATGTTTTGAGAAATTAAAGAAGAATTGATAAATCTGGGGCTAGAGAGATGGCTTCATGATTAAGAGGACTGACTGGCTTTTCTTATAGGGAATCTGGGTTTGGTTCCCAGTACCCACTCGGTGGCTCACAATTGTCTGCAACTTGACCCTCTTCTGGGTCCCGTGGGCGCCAGGCACACATGTGGCACACAAACATACATGCAGGCAAAATACTCATACACGTAAAATAAAATAAATGAATCTTTTAAAAGAATTGAGAAATCCGAGTGCGGCTGTGTGGGTTTGGGCCAGACCTTCGTACTCTCTGGGCCTCGGTTTCATTTGTAGAAGTACAATGGAGTCATGTTTGAAAGGCCCTTGTGCTCTGATGGGCTGTGGGTTCCCAGCCCTAGCCCTACAAGATTGGGTTGGAAGCGGAGTCTGGGAGATCCCATCTCCAACCCCACTAGCAGGTGAGATGGGATCAGAGTTGAGATACACACTGACCCGAGATCCACAGGGATCCTTCTCACTCCAGTGCTGAAGAACCATGATTCTAAAAAGTGTGGGAAGAGGGTACCCGCTTGGTGGAACGATGCCTACCTGGTTCTTGGTGACCCTGCCTGATTCCAGGTGGGCATCAGGGTCAATCATGGGCATGCCAAGGAGCTCACACCCTAAAGGGCCGGTCTGGAGACTCCCACAGATCCTTTCAAGGCTGGGAGTGAGCTCTGCCTCTGGGTGGGCACAGAGATGGGTCTGGAAGTCTGACCTAGGTAGGCCCCAGAGGGGTTGATCTCAGACTTTGGCTCCCTGGGTCCTTACCGAAGCTGGGAGGTAGACCTTCTCGTTCCTCTGTGTCTCCATGGCCAGCCAAGCTGAAAGAGACCCAGGAGAACCTTGAGACCAGGAAGACCTTGAGTCATTCCCAGAATGCAGAAGGTCATGTCACCCGTGTATGGGGGGCTTCCCAGAGGGAGCTAGGAGGCCCTGAAGCAGGACACCCTGTCTAGCTTGGCCTTTTAGGAAGGAGTCGGCATTTGAGATCTATGAGAACTAGTGGATGAGGAAACCGTGTTCACTTCTTGAACCTTAATAAGCATGGGGGACATCTTCAGCTTGATGCAACTTGTCTCATGGGAGGCCTGGTCTTCAACTTGAGAGTGGTAAAACTTACAAGAGGTGGGACCTAGGGGGCATCTTTTTGAAGGTGTCTGTGGGCCTGTCTTCTTTTCACTTCCTAGCCATGAGTGAGAAGTTCTTCCCTCACATCACGTGAGGTATCTCTTCAGAAGCCACGTAACATGAATTTTGTTTGATCCAGACGATCACCACAGGTACCCGGATGATCACACACAGGTTCTGAATTGAGCTCTGAGACTCTGCATTTCTACCAGGCTACCAAAGGGGGCGCTGCTGCTTGCTGGGGAACCATAATTCCAGAAGTAAGATGCGAAGTGGCTTCAGAGTTGAGGCGATTCCCACCCTGTGTGCTCCCTTCTGGTCTCCTATGAGGGGACCTGGGGACACGAATAAGCTGAGATTTCTTACAAGGTCGGAAGCAGGCCTGGGAAAGCCCCAGGCCCACCTTCTCTGGGATGCCACTGTAGGACTCTTTCTGGCTCTACTATTTCCTAGGCCTTCAAACACAAGGCAAGCTGCCTAAGCGTCCACTTTCCTCCACTATAAGACGGGGTACCCCACAGCACAATAAGTTAATGGAGATGAGATGCAGGACCTCGCCTGGTTCCTGGCACTCTTAATACCATGGCATTATGTAATCTGCTTGACCTCTAACATCCAGCACAGGAGCCAGAAGCCACGCTTGTCACCCAGCACGGGAATGTGGTCATGTGAAATCATACCTAAACTTCCAAAGGCTCAACATGAAAAAAAAAAAAACAAAAACAAAAACAACAACAACCACAGTGTAGGGTATGAACATCAAATTTTGTTGAGGTTTTGAGATGGGGTCTGGCTGTACTGTTCAGGCTGTTTTCAAATTCCTGGACTCAACTGATCCTCCTGCCTCAGTGTGAATAGCTGAGACAACAGGCATACACTACAATGTCCAGATTTCCTTAATATCTTAGCATTGGTTCCGTGCTGAATTGGTCATGTTTCAGGTATACTGAATTGAATGAAACTTAATTGTTATTGTTAAAATCAGCTTTGCTAGCTCTTTTGCTCTGTTTGCTCATTTGTTTGTTTGTTTAGACCGGCAGACCAGGCTAGTATTGAACTCATGATGTGTCCGAGACTGTCCTTAAGCTTCTGCCCCTTCTTTCTCCACCTTCCAAGCGCTGGGGTTATAGGTATATGCTTCCATCTTGGCTCCCTGAACTTTCCTATTAAAGAGCTCCCATATCCCCAGTTAAATTGTTCTTCCCAGTGCTGGCTGCTTCATGGCTTCTCAGAAGGAAACAGCTAGGTTGTTTTGTTTTGTTTTGGTTTTTTTGAGACAGGGTTTCTCTGTGTATCCCTGACTGTCCTGGAACTCACTCTGTAGACCAGTCTGATCTTGAACTCAGACTAAAGGGGTGCGCCAGGACACACAGCAAACAGAAGGTTGTCAGACCCACCCACTGAGGCCCACAGATCTTTCCAAGGTTGATGTATCACAGTTGTGCATGAGCCTCCTCCCGCCATGTTGATCACTTACCTTTCTTTCTCCACTGGAGCATGTGGCTGCCAAAGGCAATCAGACCTGTCGCCAGCAGAAGGGACAAGAGCACCCAGACTGGGGCCATCATGCGGACAATCGGGATGGACACACTAGAGGAGAGATGAAAGGAGCCTGGAGGAACCTGGTGGCAGTTACCAGATCAGCCATCTATGTCCTTGAGTCCCATGCATAAGCTGAGAAAGCCAGCTTCTAGCCTGATGGCCAACGCAGCCCCAAATTGAGGCTCGCTGGGTTCGAACCCTGGTCTTGACATTTCAGGGACATGTCACTCTGAGTAAATGACTAAACAACCTTCCAGACCACCGATTTTACTTCCTATGAAGCAAGGCTGTGAGGATCAAACAAGTTGGAATGTTTAAGATACTGAGTTCAGGGGCCGGAGAGATGGCTCAGAGGTTAAGAGCACTGATTGTTTTTCCAGAGGTCCTGGGTTCAACTCCCACCTCCTACATGGCGGCTCACAGCTGTCTTCGTAACTATAGTTCCTGATATCCTTACACAGGCATTCGCACACAGACAAAACATCAATGCACATAAAAAATAAATGAATAAATTAAAAAAAGATACTGAGTTCAAAGACAGGTGAGGTGATTTAAGATTGCGATCCTTGCACTTGGGACATAGACGATCGGGAAGATCAGGAGGTTTAGGTCATCCTTGGCTACTAAGGGAGCTGGAGGCCAGCCTGAGCTACATGAGAGAACTTACCTCAAATTAAATACTCCTCCCACTAGGAACAAATCTTAATACGGTACCTAGCTATATTTGCTGCTAAACTACACAATTCAACAAGCAGGACTTTTTATTTTTAAACAAGGTCTCACAAACTGAACTCAGCCTGGCCTTGAACTTGTGGCCTCCCTAACTCTGAGTAATTGGAATTACAGGTGTGCTCCTCCACATCCGGCAAGAAATGGGGAGGCTCACTGGCCTGAAGGCGGTGTCACCAGCACCGGTTTACGGCAACACAGTGCTCTAATTCAGTGTCCAGTCAGGTTTCTGTCACCCGAGGAGATCAAAAGGCATGAGGGGCCAGTGTTTTCGAGATCATCCCTGTGTGCTCGGCCCGGGGTACCCCAGCCCTACAGGACATATTCAGCCTGGTCTGAACCTGCTAGTGATGACCTGAAAGGCAAGAACTGGGAGTAGGGAGAGCCCCCAGAATCCTTTGCTGCAGACTGGGACCCAGCTGTGTCAAGAAAAAGTTGGTGAAGGGCTTTCATGTTTTCATGCAGCCCAGGGCTCAGAGCAAAGTATACAGGGAAACCCCTGAGCTGGGGTGACCTGAGTGGAAGAGAGATGCTTTCTGGGTCCAAGGGAGACCCTTCACCTCAGATGGCTCTGTGTGTCCAGATGAGCCCTGCGAAGGGACTGAGGCCTGAAATCTGCCTTCTGAACCACAGGCTGTGGCCACCACCAGAGGAGCTATCTGCCGGGAGGAAAGAAAGGAGAGTCGAAAGGTTGAAGCGTCACCTTGGGTCCCCTGGACTCACCTGGACGTGAGGACACGACTGGCCGTGGAGTCCTTTGGTGTGATGCTGAGCGGCCAGATGACTGGGCGGGAGCTCCCTGCATGAGGAGAGGTCGCTGTGTGAGGAGAGCTCCCAGCATATGGAGAGGTTCCTGGGGAAGGGGAGGTTCCTGCAGACCAGGCTGGGGTTGTTGTGTGAGGAGCACTCCCAGCATATGGAGAGGTTCCTGGGAGAACCTGGGAGGTTCCTGAAGACCAGGCTGGGGCCTCCTCCGTGAACACAGGGGCCTTAACCTCTGTCTTCCCCTGCTTGACTGTGACGACTGTCGGGTGGAGACCAGGAGAAGCTATAAGTCCAAAAACAATACCTCAGCACCTTCCCTGGCCCTCGAGCTCCACCCAGACATTTGAACATAAACCTTTCCAATCTCAAACTAATCTCAGGATGTCCTCAACTAAAACGCTTCCCAGAAGGCGAGCAGAGGCCTAAGTGAGGCCCTTAGAGCAAGAAGACCCTGGACCAGGCGCATCTATGCGTAATCTGTTCTGTAGACATAGACCCTACCCCCAAGGCCCTGTCCTACATCCTGGTTCTCCCCTTAATCCAGGCCAGGGTCACCCCCTCTGACCAAAAAGCAACTTCTCCATCTGCCCAGCGCTGAACCTCCTGACCCAGATGTCCCGGTAAGGCCTAACCTCCTTCAGCTCCCAAAAGCTGGGCAGAGAGCAAGGTGGCAAAGACTGGTCTGAGGTCATGGCCAATGTCTGGCTCATCCCCAGATCCCGAGGAAGAGCTTTGGGGTCAGCTGTAGCCTTTTCCCACGTGGCCCTGAGTCAGTGGCCCAGTTCCTTCGAGCCACTGTGGCTTCTGAGGTTGTTGGGAACAGCTGGGAGGCCCTCACGCTATGTTTCCTGAACTGGAGAAGGGTCAGGAAAGCCATTGACTCACTCAGTTCTGGGAGCTGAGTCTGCCAGGCTATTGCCTTGGGCTGCAGGATCCTTGTAGCTGTGAGAGGCTGGAAGGAGGGGTTAGGGGAAGTAGGGCAGCGGGTGCCAGTGGGGGTGGGACTGTCCCTTCTTCCTAATGGAAATGGAGAGGCTGCTCTCAGGGAGACAGACATTGCCACAGTGGGCCCCTCATTCTCAGTAGAGATGCCACTGTTGTCTCCTCCGAGCCAATCGGAGGCCATAACTGGCAGATCCCAGTGGATCCCGGGTCTTCCCCACCTGCTGCCCATATTAGTCTCTCATTGGATCAGGTCTTCCCCACCTGCTGCCCATATTAGTCTCTCATTGGATCAGGTCTTCCGTGTTCCTTGCCCCAGCCTGCTTCTCTCATACCACCCTTTGCATGGACACCTGCGTTTCTAAAACACACATCAGATCCCATTGCCTCCTGCTCTGGAAGCCATCGGTGGCTACCCATTTTAGCTGTAAGCTGAAACACCGTCTGCTTACTTAGTGTGTTTCTCATGGCCTTTGAAACTCAGACTTCAGATCGCCCTACCAAAGTCACCTCTTTCCCCATGGGGAACTCACGGGGCCACGCAGAGATGCCCTGTGTTCAGGGTCACCCTTTCTACTGCTGTGCCTTTGCCAGGTTGTCCCTCTGTGAAACCATTCTCTTACACCTCTGCCTAAAGCTCCCCCTCACCTCTGCTGCCCCCCCCCCCCCCCGCCCTGTCTTCCATCATCAGCTCGGAAGTTAAGTCCCAGTAATGTGGAGGAATTCTCCCTTTCCTTTGTGTGCCCCAATATCCCGTGTTTGTCTTCTGGGGAGCTAGTGACAACTCTGACTACAACTATGGATTTGCAGGGTCTCCCACGGGGCTAGGATTCCTCAAGGGCCAGCATCCCAGGGTCTTTTCTGACGACACCCAACCTGGACATTCTGGGATTGCTCTCCACTCTCAAGTCTAACGCTCGGTCATTTACTTGTATTTTTTCTAAGTAGCCGACTAAATCTTCTGTAAGTCAAGAGCAGCTTCCTATTTTGTGTGTTTCTACGCCTCTGTGCCTTGCCTAGGGCCTCCAGAAGATGAGAAATAGAGGATATGATAATGGATATTTCCAGCCTAGATTGGTCCTGGAGGCTGCTAGTTCCCTCTGGCTAGTTAACTTTGCAGGGATTCTGGGAGCTGGTTGTTAAATGTTTGGCAGATAGACACTGGCTTTGCAGGAGGGAGTGTTGCTACCAGAGAAACCTATAAACATTACAGGCCAGTGTCCCCAGTGGCTGTGGGGACACCCACTGACACAGCCCTCATCATTGGCAGGATGAGCTGTCATCAGAAGCCAACCAGCTCTGGCCTGAAAGGACGAAAAGGCATGGATCACATACCTCGGAGAGGTGACAAGAGCTCAGGGCAAGAACCAGACACAAGAGAGTCTCAAAACTAGAGAACACTAGGCTGGGCGGGGTGGCACAGGACCTTAGTCCCAGTGCTCAGGAGGCAGAGACAGGTAGATCTCTGTGAGTTCTAGGCCAGTCAGAGGAGTCAGAGCTGCATAGTGAGACATCATCTAAAAAGCCAAATAAATAAACAAAATAAAGATAGAGCTATTCACAATTAGGGAAAAAAAAAGATGTCTGTGCACTGTTAAGAGATGAAAGAGACTGGGACCTTCTGAATAACAGAAGCCACTCAAGGAGTATTGTTCTACAGCATTAGGGATGCAGCCCAGGGTCTTACCCTTAGCTGGCCCTCTGAGCCACACCCTCCAGTCTCATCAGTGAGGCTTTGTTGCTGCTGTTAGTATCTGGCTTGTTTACTTTTATTTCCCTTAACTGTCATAGAGACTCAGGAGTGAAAGAGAATAGGCTTTGGGGACAGACCAGGGCTTAGGATGGGTCCTAGCTTCTGGGCCCATCTTTCAAACAGAGACAGGTTGCAGTGATCTGGGTTTGAATCCTGCCTGCTCCGCTTCCTGCCTCAACCTTAGGCCAGTCACTGAGTGACTTGGAGTGTCTCTGTATCCCATGTGGGAAGTGGTGGTTCAGAGATCTACCCAGGTCTCACTGGCTGAGATAGGACTGTCTGTACTCTGGCCACCCTCTAGTTTTCCTCCCCTGGGTTCTCCATACAGAAGGTGGAAAAAACGTGGAGACCATCAGCATAGTGAAGCCAGCTCATGGCTTAGGGAACACTGCGGGCTGGGCCTGGGAGGTGACCATGGTTAGCCTGGGCTCAGAAGGTTGTGGGAGCATTTGTGATACAGGAAATCTGCAGGTCCTTCCTTGTTGCCTGAGATGGTCATCTTGTCCTCATCCTGTCTCCCCCAAGACATCCAGGCCAAGAGCGACAGGTGTGACCACATTTTGCTCTATGAAACCCTAACAGGGAGACTTGCAAAGGGACAACCGAGGCTTATCTGAGTTGTTTCCGGTGCTCAGCAGGTGTCCCTACTAACTCCTCAAGTCCTAGAGAAGGCCTGATGAGGTTGGCACCAAGTCTGCCCCCTTCTGTAATAGGGAACTTTCCATGGTTCAGATCCTCTTGCCCATCCCACCCAGGCCACGGGGAGAGCCGTTCGTTACCTGGAAAGACGATGAGAGACACTTCAAAAGATTCATCGAAGCCCAGTCTGTCAATCCCGCACCAGTACTTCCCCGAGTCCTTCATGGTTAGGTCCCTCATGGTCACGGTCATCGAGAGCTCTCGGGGCCTGTCTCGGATGGACATCCGGCCCCGTACCACCTCCTGGTTCTGTTCTGAGTAGACAATGTCGGAGCAGCGGGACAGGATGAGGCCACCCTCTCGGCACCAGTACTTCCTGCGTCCCCTCACCTTCTTCTCGTAGGTGCACTTCAGGGACACGCTGTCACCTTCAAATCCACTGACCTCCTTTGGGCCCTTCAGGGCTTCATAACCTGAAAACACAGCATGAATGGAGATGGGATGTCTATGGATCCAAATACTCGGCCCAGACTCGAAGCTCCCATTTCACAGGGAGGAAGGGAGGCTTTCTCGTCAGATCTTCTGAGGCAGCCTGAAAAAGCCCCAGGATTCTCTTCTTCTAGGGAACCTTAAGACAATCCTGCCACTCTTTCCTTAAACACCATTAATTGAAAGGGATAGACAAAAAAGGGATAGAAAAGTTCTAGACTCAGAATCCTGGGGGGTTGAATCCCAGCCTTGGCATTCCGTAGCTTCGTGATGTGGGGCAAGTTGCTTAACACGTCTAAGTTTTCTCGTCTACAGAGGATATTAACATTCTCCTTCATTGCATTTGAGAGACATGAGCCAGGCTGGCCAGATGGCTCAAGGGGTAAAGGCACTTGCTGCTAAGCCCAACAAACTGAGTCTAAGACTCAAGAAGAAGAGAACAGACTACAAAGGTTGTACGCTGACCTCTCCACGTGTGCTGTGCCTTTTTGTGTACTAATGCGTGCTTGTATGTGCATACACACACATGAGGGTTACATGTAATAAAGACTTCAGAAAACAGCCCGAGTTAATGTATATATTCTTTTTTTTTTTTAAATTTATTTATTATGTATACAATATTCTGTCTGTGTGTATGCCTGCAGGCCAGAAGAGGGCACCAGACCCCATTACAGATGGTTGTGAGCCACCATGTGGTTGCTGGGAATTGAACTCAGGACCTTTGGAAGAGCAGGCAATGCTCTTAACCTCTGAGCCATCTCTCCAGCCCCTAATGTATATATTCTTAAGGGAAAACTAAACAAACACGCCCAACTGAGCAGTTATAAGATGCATCCTGATTTTTAGGTCTTAATGGAAGAAGCCCAGCTACTTGGGATCAGGGCAAGTTCAAGTCTGAAACAATGGAAAGGGAGCTGGGGGATGCAGCTTAGCATGGAACACTCACTCAGCGTGCTCCAGTGCCTAGGTTCCACCCTCCTCTGAGCATTACAGAAAAGAAATAAAAGATAAAAGTGGTAAGAGCAAAGAAAGCTCCCCTGCAGGTACGTTCTAGCTACCCTTCAGACCTTTGCCCTCTTGCAATGAACTAACTAAACTAAATATACCGTGTGTAGTATATGTAAATGTATACACACACACACACACACACACACACGTTCAGCAGTAAGAGCACTTGTGGTGAAAACCTGATGACCTGAGTTTGATCCCCTGATCCCATAGTGGAAGGAGAGAACCTAAAAGTTCTACTCTGACCTCGTGAGTGCTGTGCAACACACATGCTCCCTCCCTCCCTCCTTCTCTTACACACACACACACACACACACACACACACACACGATAACAATAATAAATTAAAAATTCAAAATAAGTAAAGCAAGAAAAAAATGAAAGCAAAGAAAGAGAAGTAAGTTTAGTAGAAATCCAACTAAGTCAGCTGAGTTAACGAGCTAAGTAGATGCATCTCTGTGATCCGAGGCTCAGCTCCTTTTACACCTGCACATCCGCGCAGAGGCCACAAATACGCGTGAGGAAGACGCTTGGGTCTGAGCTCAAAAACACCAGGTGCTGCATGCGCCCAGGGTTGCCGGGCTGAGGATGGCTTAGCTGGGATGAAATGGGGAAGTTTCTTCCTCCACCCCACCAAGAGCGGCTCTGCAGACCAGAAGAGTGAGCTCAGGCCCGCACCTGCCTGCCCCTCCATCCCTGTCACCGCCATTCCCCCTCACCTGGGAGCACCAGGCAGCTCCACAGCAAGACTAGAGGCCGCATGGTGGGTGATGGACACGGCGGGAGCAGATGCCTGCAGTTGCCCGCTCCTTCGGGCCACTCGGGGCTTTAGCTTCCAGCAGAAACGCCGGGCTGGAACCAGGAAGGGAGGGGAGGGGCGTGTATCGCCTTGTCCAGCCCAGTCTCAAAGGCGCCTCTGCTTTTCCTCCTGCAACCTTGTGTACGTTACTGCAGCCTGCAGACCCGCACCAACGCTTCTCCAAAACCCCAGTTCCTGCTTAACCTTAATCTGAGATCTGAGCACCACAGCTCTGCCGGTGACATTCAGGAGTCTGCGAGATCTGATGGGGAAAACTTTCCTCGTGGCCTTTAGGAACCTCTGATAGACTGCTTTCCCTTCTATTAAGAATCCCCAAGCCGGGCGATGGTGGCGGTGGTGGCATATGCCTTTAATCCCAGCACTTGGGGGGCCGAGGTAGACAGATTTCTGTGAGTTCGAGGCCAGCCTGGTCTACAGAGCGAGTTTCAGGACAAGCTCCAAAGATACAGAGAAACCCTGTCTCGAGAAAACCAAAACCAAACAAATTCTGAAGCAATCAGTTGTTGCTGACATCCCCAATTTTTTTTAATATTTATTTATTTATTATGTATACAATATTCTGTCTGTATGCCTGAAGGCCAGTTGAGGGCGCCAGACGTCTTTACAGATGGTTGTGAGCCACCATGTGGTTGCTGGGAATTGAACTCAGGACCTTTGGAAGAGCAGGCAATGCTCTCAACCACTGAGCCATCTCTCCAGCCCCTGACATCCCAAATTTTATGTATACTTCTCACTGTTTGGAAAGTTATTAATTGTTAGACTTGCCTCTAGATCTGAGTATCCAAGTGCTAAATATGGAAGCATATTTATTGACTAGTGTATCACTAATGACATGCTTAAAACTATTTCCCTATTTTTAGTATTTTAATATGAGTTATTATTTTCATTTATTATTAGTAGTAGTAAGTAGTATTAGTATTTTGATTTTTTTGAGACAGGGTTTCTCTGTGTAACAGCCCTGGCTGTCCTGGAACTTGCTCTGTAGACCATTCTAGCCCTGAACTCACAGAGATCTGTCTGCCTTTGCCTCCTGAGTGCTGGGAGTAAAGGCGTGCAAACCTTTTATTTTCATTTTATTTTTTATGTGTATGAATGTTTTGCCTGCATTTATGTCTGTGGACCATGTGTGTGCAGAGCCCTCAGAGAGAGGGCGCTGGAGCTCCCGGGACTGAAGTTACAGGCCGCTGTGAGGACCCCATGAATGGTGAGAATTAAGTCTGGGTCCTGGAAGAAAAACAGGAGCTCTTAATGGCCGAGCCATCCCTCCAGCCCTCAGTTGTTAGTTTACTAAAAATGTTAAATTATATTTTCAGAGGACAGCTTTGTGGAGTCCACCTTCCAGTTTTTCATGGCTTCCAGGAATCAAACTGAGGTCATCAGGCTTGTGTGGAAAGCACTTTTTACCCCGAGACGTCTTGTGACCCTTATTTTAAACAAGTGTCCATGTTTCATAAGTGTGTGTGTATGGACAATTGTTTTGAGAGGGAGATCTATAAGCTTCTCCACACAGCTAAGGAGTTCAGTGGTACTGGTACAACCTTTTTTCTTTCTTTCTTTCTTTCTTTCTTTCTTTCTAATTCTTTATTCTTCTTTCATACAATACATCCCAACCGCAGCTTCCCCTCCCTCCACTCCTCCCAGTTTCCCCTCTGCCCTCAGCTCTTCTCCAGACCCACTGCTTCTGTTTTCCTTCAGAAAAGAATAGGCCTCCCAGGGATTATCAACTAAAGACTGCAAAATAAGTTTTAAGACTGGGCCCAAACCCTTATATCATGCTGAGAGAGGTAACCCAGTAGGAGAAAAAGGGTCCCAAAGGTAAGCAAAATAGTCAGAGACATGGCCACTTCCACTGTTAGGAGTCCCACAAAACCACCAAGCTAAACCAGGCGGTGATGGCACACGCGCTTTTAATCCCAGTACTCCGGAGGCAAAAGAAGGTCAATTTCTGAGTTCGAGGTTGCCTAGTCTATAGAGTGAATTCCAGAACAGGCAGGGCTATGCAGGGAAATCCTGTCTTGAAAACCCAAACCAACCAAACCAAACCAAACCAAACAAACAAAAAAAAAAAAACCCAAAAAAACCCCAAAAACCACAAAGCATGGCCGGGCGATGCTGGCGCACTCTTTTAATCCCAGCACTCAGGAGGCAGAGGCAGGCGGATCTCTGTGAGTTCGAGACCAGCCTGCTCTACAAGAGCTAGTTCCAGGACAGGCTCCAACACCACAGAGAAACCCTGTCTCAAAAAAAAACAAAAAAAAAGGGCCGGGCGGTGGTGGCGCACGCCTTTAATCCCAGCACTCGGGAGGCAGAGGCAGGCGGATCTCTGTGAGTTCGAGACCAGCCTGCTCTACAAGAGCTAGTTCCAGGACAGGCTCCAACACCACAGAGAAACCCTGTCTCAAAAAAACAAAAAAAAAAAGGGCCGGGCGGTGGTGGCGCACGCCTTTAATCCCAGCACTCGGGAGGCAGAGGCAGGCGGATCTCTGTGAGTTCGAGACCAGCCTGCTCTACAAGAGCTAGTTCCAGGACAGGCTCCAACACCACAGAGAAACCCTGTCTCAAAAAAACAAAAAAAAAGGGCCGGGCGGTGGTGGCGCACGCCTTTAATCCCAGCACTCGGGAGGCAGAGGCAGGCGGATCTCTGTGAGTTCGAGACCAGCCTGGTCTACAGCGCTAGTTCCAGGACAGGCTCCAAAGCCACAGAGAAACCCTGACTCGAAAAATCAAAAAACAAAACAAAACAAAAAAAAACCAAAACCCACAAAACACAAAACAAGTCAAAAAACTCACCAAGCTAACAACCACAGCATAGAGGACCTAGCACAGCCCCATGCAGGCTTCTCTCCGTGATTTTTGCTCCAGTCTCTGTGAGCTCCTAAAACTCGGTTTATTTGATTCTGTGGGCCATGTTCTCTGACCTCTCTGGCTCCTACAAGTCTTCCTCCTCCTCTTCCATGGGGCTTGCCTGAGCTCAGAGGGAGGGGACCTGATGGAGATCTCTAATTTGGGCTTCCTCTGCACCTAATGTTTGGCTATGGGTCTCTGCATCTGCTCCCATCAGCTCCTGGAAGACGCCCTGTGATGGTGATAGCGCTAGGCACCGATCTATGAGTTTAGCAATATATCATTAGGAATAATTTTTATTGATTTTTTTCTACCCTGGGTCCTCAGTTTCCGGTTCCTGGTCATCCAGGCAGTGTGGTGCATGGGCTCCCTTTCGGGACTTAGGTCTCAAATTTGCACAGTTATTGGTTAGTTGACCTTTCCTATAAGAACTGCTCTTCCATTGTCCTTCACCCCCCCTGCCCCGTGTCCACCTCCTCCCCGCTCTCTAGCAGGCAGGATGGATCGAAGGTTTTGTGGTTGGGTTGGTGACCCAGTTCCACCGGCAGTGGTACAACTTTTAATGACCAATTGGACAGCTCTTGGGACCAGCATCCCCGCCCCACATTTCCTATCCGGGGCGCAGTACATCTATTGTCCACCGGGAGGCGGTGCAGGCAGGGCTGAGCTGAGCTGAGCTGAGCTAAATTGGATGGAGCCTTGGGCCGGCCGCCTTGGAAAGGTGCTTCCCCAGAAAGGCAGCTTTGTCTTGCTGGGCGCTTACAAAAGTGAATCAGTGACTTATTTCCTCTTCGCAGACTTCATAATCCTTCACGGGACCAGAACAAACACTCACGCTAGAGGGAGCTCTGAACCATTTTCCCAAATAACTGTCTTGCAAAGTTCATATGGAGTCTAAGCAAATGTTTATTTTTTAAAATATTTATTTATTTATTCATTTATTATTTATACAATAGTCTGTTTGTATGTCTGCAGCCCAGAAGAGGGCACCAGACCTCATTACAGATGGTTGTAAGTCACCATGTGGTTGCCAGGAATTGAACTCAGGACCTTTGGAAGAGCAGGCAATGCTCTTAACCACTGAGCCATCTCTTTAGCCCCGCAAATGTTTATATAATACAGATATGTAAGAAAGAAGGGAAGGCGAGCAGGGTAGTAGCAGTTAAAGCATTAACTGGATGGTTATGGGAGGGGAGTTTGTTCTTGCGGCTCTGGTTACAGAGGGCATCAAGATTATGCTTATTTATTTACTTATTTATTGCTTTTTTTTTTTTTTTTTTTTTTTTGCTCCCCGAGACGGGATTTTTCTTTGTGTAGCTTTGGAGCCTATTTTGAAACTCACTCTGTAGACCAGGCTGGCCTCAAACTCACAGAAATCCACCTGCCTCTGCCTCCCGAGTGCAGGGATTAAAGGCGCGCGCCACCAGCGCCCGGCTAGCGTATTTATTTTTGGTGCACACGCAGGTTATGGCATGCTGTAGAAGGCAGAGGACAGCTTGCAGGATTCACTTCTCTCCTTCCACCATGGGGGCTCCTGGGATGTACCACAAATTGTCTTATTTGACTGTAAGAACCTTTATGCATTGAGCCATCTCCTCAGCACGAGGGCACACGTCTTGATCCCACAGCGATTGGCCGGCTGAATACCGCTGTTTACCAGCATGGACCGTGTCACCTTGAAACCCTACAGACCTCAGCCAGGAATATGAGTGTGTACAGATTATCCAATCAAGTAGTTATTGCAGTTTGAAAAACAATCAAACACCGCCCACAAGGTAATATCTAGCTTTTCATAATGCATTTCTGCATGTTTTTTCCTGTTCTCACTTCCTATGCCTAACTTATCGTGATAAGTGGGGCAGGCACTTGGCCCTACACTTTATTTTCTAGGGCCGCAGGGCCTGGCCCCTGACATATTGAAATATGAGCTGCTTGGTAATAAATTGCTTTCTTTTTTATTTCTTCTCCCTAAAACAGCTGGAATATTATATTATAATTTAAAGAAATGAATCATATGAGCCAGCATGTTATTTATGATTGTCCTTTCCGGGGAGTACAGGAGATGTTCCCAGATGCTTATTTATAGCCAAGGAGCATTGGGTCTGCGGCTTGTCCTCCGTACTCTTTCTGCATGTTTGAACATCCTTTACCCCTGCTCTCCCAGCTCCATATCTAGCCCAGGAGCCGACCTCGATGTGGTTCATGGACTAAGAGCATTGAGCAATTGATTCGAAGCACCCAAATGGCGGCTCATAAGCATCTGTAATTCCAGTGCCAGAGGAGCTGATGCCCCTTCTGGCCTCTGTGAGTACCAGGCATACACACAGTGTACATACATACACAATGGCAAAACCCTCATATACATAAAATAATTTTAAAAAACTGTTGGAAACAAAACATCCTCCAAGTCAGAGGACACTGTGGGAGAGAAAGTGTGGGGGTGGGGGCATCTGGGTTGTTTCCAGGTTCTGGCTATTACAAATAGTGCTGCGATGAACATAGTTGAGCAAATGTCCTTGTGGTATAAGTGTGTCTCCTTTGGGTATATGCTCAAAAGCCGTATTGCTGGGTCTTGAGGTAGCTTGATTCCTAATTTTCCAAGAAATCGCCATACTGATTTCCACAGTTGCTGCACAAGTTTGCACTCCCACTAGCGATGGAGGAGTGTTCCCCTTATTTTACATCTTCTCCAGCATAAGCTGTCCTCAGTGTTTCTGATACTAGCCATTCTGATCGGTGTAAGATGGTATTTTAGAGTTGGTTTTGTTTTGTTTTGTTTTGTTTCCCCTTGGAGTGGACGGAGCAAGCTCCAATTCCAACTCCTAGTTCCAAAAATCCATTTAATATATTGTCCTCGGATAGAGGACGTATCAGATATTAAACTGATAAGAACAGATACTACACTTGACCTTAGCCAAAAGGCCGAGAAGCGATTCAGAGTTGTTTTTATTTGCATTTCTCTGATGGCTAAGAGTGTTGAGCGTTTCCTTACGTGTCTTTAGGCCATTTGAGATTCCTCTGTTGAGAGTTCTTTGTTTAGATCTGCACCCCCTTTTTAAATTGGATTATTTGGTAGTTTGATGTCTAGTTTCTTAAGCTCTTTATATATTTTGGCGATCAGCCCTCTGTCAGATGTGGGGTTGGTGAAGATCTTTACCCATTCCGTAAGCAACCATTTTTTTTTCTTGTTGATAGTGTCCTTTGCTTTACAGCTTCTCAATTTCAGAAGGTTCCATTTCTTAATTGTTGCTCTCAGTTTTTAATATTACTGATGTTATATTTAGGAAGTAATTTCCTGTGTCAGTGTGTTCAAGGGTACTTTCCATTTTCTCTTCTGTGAGGTTCAGTGTGGTTGGATTTATGGTCAGGTCTTTGGTCCATTTGGACTTGAGTTTTGTGCATGGCAATAGATATGCATCTATTTTCATTCTTCTACATGTTGACATCCAGTTGTACCAGTACCAGTTGTTGAAGATGCTTTCTTTTTCCTATTTTATATTTTTAGCTTCTTTGTCAAAAATCAGGTGTTCATAGGTGTGTGGGTTAATGTCAGGGTCTTTGAATAGATTCCTTTGGTCCACCTGTCTGTTTTTATGCCAATACCAATCTGTTTTCATCACTGAAGTTCTATAATAGAGTTTGAAGTCAGGGATGGTGATGTCTCTGCTGTTCCTTTGTTGTACAGGATTATTTTGGCTATCCTGGGTTTTTGTTTTTCTATATGAAATTTAGTATTGTTCTTTCAATATCTGTGAAAAATTGCGTTGGGATTTTGATGGGAATTGCATTGAATCTGTAGACTGCTAAGAGCAAGGGAGATCTTTCCATTTCTGATGTCTTCTTCAATTTCTTTCTTCAAAGACTTAAAGTTCTTGTTATACAAGAACTTGCTTGGTTAGAGTTACCTAAAGATGCTTTATGTTGTTTGTGGCTATTGTCCACCTGCCTCTGCTCCCAAGTGCTGGGATTAATGGTGTGCGCCACTACCACCCAGCTGAGTGTCATGTTCTTAAAATTACTTCTTCTTGCTGGAGCCAACAGCATCTTTAGGGGACCCTGAGAAAATAAGGTCATGTCTTGGGAGAGCTAGCTGTCATTTGTTGTCCAGCCTCTGTGTGATGGAAAGTGCAGGGTTTATCTGAAGTCCTTACTGGAGTAGTCTAAGAGACTGGGCCATTTTAGCTAACTGCTTTGAAGTTGTCCAAAGCTGATATTTGGGTGGTGTTTGTCAGCTTAATGGCATTTCACAGTCCAGGAGGATTTGTCGGTGCAGGGCCCCATCATCTTTTCGGAGACTTCTAAGGTCACTGTTAGGAATGGTCATGGCTGACTGCAGAAATCATAAACATTTTAAAAGTCATATACAACAGATCTCAGGTTAGAGGACCATAATCTACTAAGTACATTCGGGGTATGCAAACTTAGTTCTTAGTTACCTGCCTCAGACTCAAACCCAAAAACACATACAGGAAGCTAGATGAAGTTTTTTTCTTTTTCTAGAATTAGTGCTCTATGTGACCACTACTAACATCATGACAGAAAGTTTATATATATATATATACATATATATGTATATATGTATATATATAATCTTATATATTTTGAGATAATATTTATACCTTAAGAAAAGTTTTAAAAAGCCAAAATAAAACTAAAGGATTATGAGGTTAATGATGATAGAACTGTCCCTTAATTTTGGTTTTCTTCTGTTCCATACCAGGTGGATCTTCTGACATGAGACAGAGGTTTGGGATTTTCCTTTAACAAGCGTGCTTGGGTTTAGAGAAGGAGAGAGCCATGCTCCAATTCCAAAACTAGCTTTAATTTCCATTGAATCGGGACTACAAAAAGATCATTTGCCTTTTATGTTTGTACAGATCAGCAAAAACAAGCATTTGGGAAGATTTATGAAGTTCTACCCTGTTGGAGGTGTCCTATATCATCAGACTAATTACTCCTTTTTTTGGGACATTTTCTCTTGATGATTTGTCCTTCTTCTTCAGGTGTCTCATTTGTCCAGCAGTCTTTAGATTCCTTAGTTAGAAATTTTCATTCTCCTGGAAAGAAAAAAATAAAACCCTGCCCCAACCCTAACTTTGGGGAGTTCCTATTTTTGGCAGGTCATATCTTTGTTAAGGTAAATTGGGTTTTGGAAGTAAAAAAAAAGTATTATCTCTTAATAATATTTGCCGGGCGGTGGTGGCACACTCTTTTAATCCCAGCACTCAGGAGGCAGAGGCAGGCGGATCTCTGTGAGTTCGAGACCAGCCTGCTCTACAAGAGCTAGTTCCAGGACAGGCTCCAACACCACAGAGAAACCCTGTCTCAAAAAAACAAAAAAAAGGGCCGGGCGGTGGTGGCGCACTCGGGAGGCAGAGGCAGGCGGATCTCTGTGAGTTCGAGATCAGCCTGGTCTACAAGAGCTAGTTCCAGGACAGGCTCCAAAACCACAGAGAAACCCTGTCTCGAAAAACCAAAAAAAAAAAAATAATAATAATATTTTTCCATACTTGATCCAATGAAATGTTTTCGTTAGTCTTACAAGGTAGTTCAGATTTAATGACCAAGCTGTGTGATGAACTATCACCTCTTCTAATCAAGAGATCTCTCCTGTTTGAATCTAATCTTTCTCAATCTTGATAGCTTGTCTTCTCCTGTGGAAACAAAATCAAAACCTTTTCCCCAAAGTAACATATAACCTGGTTTTTATTCTGAGATCAATTCATCTTTAAAATATACAGGCTGATTGAATTCAGCAGCTTTTTATACTGTTCAGTCTTTTTATACTGTTCAGCTGCTCCTTTCTCATTAGCATTAAAAAATTTAAAGTTAGCCAGGTAGTGATGGCACACTCCTTTAATCCCAGCACTTGGGAGGCAGAGGCAGGTGGATCTCTATGAGTTTGAGTCCAGCCTGGTTACAGAGCTAGTTCCAGGACAGGCTCCAAAGCTACAGAGAAACCCTGTCTTGACAAAACAACAACAACAAACAAATTTAAAGTTAATAAAGCACAGTTAATAAAACAAATTTCAAAAAAATAAAATTTGGCAAATGGATGTGTTTCATTTTGCAGAGTTTGGGGAATTAAAGTATGTACAACTTACCATAGATACATATTCAGGATTCCAAAGGGCTACTGCCTTGAGTTCTGAAAAGACAGATTATGTAACTACACATTTTTCAGAAGGCATGGTGTGGCTGGGTGGTGGTGGTGCACGCCTTTGATCCCAACATTCGGAAAGCAGAGGCAGACGGATCTCTGTGAGTTTGAGGCCAGCCTGGTCTACAGAGTGTGAGGACAGGCTCCAAAGCTACACAGAAAAACCCTGTCTAGACCACCCCCCCCCCCAAAAAAAGATTTACTTTACGTGTGTATATGTGGACTCTGTCTGCACGTGCACCTGAAGTCAGGAGAGGGCATCAGGTCTCCTATAGATGGTTGCTGAGATACCATGTAGTTGCCCATACTTGAAGTTAGAGACCTACTGGATGAGCAGCCAGTTCTCTTAACCAGCGATCTATCTCTCAAGCCCTTTGTTTTTAGTCTTTAATTGCCTGTGTATGGGTGTTTTGCCTGAGTATCTGTGCTCCTTGTTGGTGTAGCGCCTGAGAAGGTGTTGGATTCCACTGGAACTAACTTTACAGATGATACTCAGTGCTGCCAATCAAGCCCAGATCCTCTGGAGGAAGAGGCTACACTTCTAACTGTGGATACCCCTCTCTCTCTCTCTAACACACACAGAGCTCCACAGTACAGAAAAGCTGAGCATGCGCCGAGTGGGCAGGCTCCCAGGAAAATGAACAAGGAGGCTCCAAAATATGCCTAGTTTCCCCCTCCACGCTCAACAGTCAAATCAGTGAAGACTTGGGAAGAGGCCCCAGCGGGCGCTGCGCTACAGAAGGGGACAGCAGGAGCGGGAAGGTGCTTTCTTAACAAAGCCTGTGGTCCCTGAGACCGGAAGCCATTAACTCTAGGAATCTGTCCTAGATAGCTGCCAGGCCTGCGGCGGACATCCTGTGGGCGAGAGAGACTCTTCTGTGTTCCGCTGCTGGGATGTTGTGGCACAGTCTACACCACACAGGTGTGATTTTCTCTCACATACGCCACCCTCTGTGCCAGTTTCAACTTCCCCATCCCTGGCAGGTGCGAACCCAGTGTTTCAACTGGCACTAAAAACAAATCTGAGAATATTAAGCTTGCGTGTTTACTCTTCCAGTGACTCTTAGGCGGAGGAGCGGAATTGCGAGGAAGCAGTGGGGAGGGTGGCCATGGTGGAACAGAAAGCTCACCAGTCTCAGTGGCCGGCTGAGAGAGAAGTGGTTGGCCTCATTCTTGTGGATTCTGTATCTGCGATTCAAAAGAAATCAGATGGAGATATTTGGAGGAAGACAAATCCAGAAAGCTAGGTGCTGGCAAGATGGCTCAGCCGGAGAAGACACTGGCCTTGCCAACCTGCTTCTCTGAGTCTGCGCCTCCGGAGCCACACGAGGTGCAGAAGAGACTCCACGGAGTGGTCCGCTGGTAGGCATGCTGTGGCAAGATGGTGAGAGGTATAATTCCGTGATAGAGCACTTACCTAAAATGTACAGGACCCAAGCCTGATCCCCAGCAAAACCACACACACACACACACACACACACGCACACACCCCTACACTACTAATGAAAAATTTTAAAGAGATTTATTTATTTTACATTTAGCATGCAAGAGTGTTTGCCTGTGTACCCCATGCATGCCTGGTGTCCAAGGCAGAAGTGAATATCAGATCCCCTGGAACTTGAGTTCCAGATGGTTGTGAGCTACCATGTGGGTGTTGAGAACTGAACCTGGGTCCTCTGCAAGAGCAGCAAGTGCTCTTAATTACTGAGCCTTATCTCTAGTCTCAATAAATTTAAAAAAAAATTATAAAAGAAAAATTTGAATTTGCTACTTG